CTGTGCCCCCCCCCCCCCCCCCACTATTCCTTGTTATCACTGTCTCTACAAAAAGGTATATCACAAAATACCCACAAAAAAATTACTATCACTACTAATAATAACAATGATTAAACTCTGCATAAAAATGGTTATGGAATTGGAATGCGACTAACCCATAGACGTGGCAGAGGCAGGAAACACAAAAAGGTTGCTAATTGCAAATCATATGGTGTAAACTTGGGGGCCACATTACGGACATTTCCTCTGGAGTTGACAAAACAAAAACGAAGGAAAGATACTTAGTATATGCGCATCCGTGGGTCGCTCTCATGTCTTCCCATAGTATACACCCTCAGATGACGAAGAGCGGAACTCTGTGACGGTGGACTCGAAAGGACTCGTAGACCTTCGGACTAAAATGATGGTAATCAGTGGCGGACGGAGAATAATTTTTAATTGGGGTATAAACTATAATTAGAGAAATAAAATTAATTTTATTATGGAGACATTGAACGATTTTAATTAAAATTTTATATAATTTATAAAGAAAATAATTCTTTTTTTATTTAAAAGTGGGTGCCAATGTTGGGTCCGCCCATGATGGTAATTGTCGCCATTTATCAAGACACGGTATAAAGTGAAGATATCTAATCGTAACTCGATGAAAAGACGTCTTCAAAAGAAATGTGGAACACCTCCAAAACGTTGAAAGAAACGGTGGATTGAGAGACATGTGAAGGACAATCCCTTGGAATCCGTTATCCGTTGGAATATTTCAACGAAAAATTTTAAACATATTTTTTATTCCGATCCTAACCCTGTCTCTACCTCTAAATCGAACCCAAAACTGTGAAATTGATCATTGAACTCACTTTCCAATTGGTCACTTATTCTTCAATTATTTCATCACTCCGACATAAACACGGTTAATTCTAGAGTTTAAACTAACAATCATTCAACTACTCCAAAATAAACTTATGATATAATATAACATTAACACATATATATATACAAGTGTTTATACATATAAATATTTTTATATATATATATACATATATATTCACACGTACACATTTATATACATGAATTGTTAGATGGTGAGAGGATGAAAAAGAGAAAGAAAGAAAACCAAAGATGGTAATTTTTTTCCGTTGCATCAATCTCTATATTACATTTCTCTTAAATATAACTCTAGATTTGATAATCCCTATAACTAACTCTAACAGAATGTTTAGTACACTAATAGGGAGAAGATTGAAAAGATTGAAGAAACAGTGCATTTGGAGATATGTGAAAAAACAAGATTAAGAGGGATGTTGATTATTGTTTACTTTTGATTTGGTTGATTGAATCTTGTGTTATTACTAAGGGGACGACTGGTTGCACCGCTACTATCCGCAAACGGAGCGGGTGCAATTTTCGGTGGTTGTGGACGATTGAAAAATTGACCGGTTGAACCGCAATCAAACTTGTATTTTTTAATCGCAACTTTTAATTTGCGTTTTGGTAGCGGTTTCTGGCGTTTTGACAAAAAAAAACTAAAATATCCTTATTAAAAATTATATAAAACATCAATATATATATTGGTGATGATTTTGTTTAGTGTTATGATTTAATATTATTTTCTAGTATTATATTTTAATAAAAATACAATAGTATAATTTTTAGATTTAATAATGATTATTTTTAATAATTTTTATAATAAAATTATTTTTTTACAAATAAATTAAATTGATAATATTTATATTTAAAATTTATTATTTAATTATTATAAATTTAGTAAATAATTTTTATCAAAATGATACTAAAATGTTAATTAAAACTTTTATAAAAAATTATTTTAAAATAATATTCTTTTTGATAATTTATATCAAAATGCAAACGTAATCGCAACGAACCATTCACTTCTAACTGCGCCCACCTGTAATCACTGTCCACAACAACTTATCAACCAACCAGTACTAACCGTTCATAATCGCTAGGGGTGGCCATTTCGGTTATTAACCGAATAACCGAACCGAACCGAACCGAATAAGAGTTATTTGCTTAATAACCGAACGGTTGAGGAAGTTGAATAACCGTTCGGGTTCGGTTCGGTTCGGTTAATAACCGAATAACTGCGGTTAACCGAACGGTTATTGAGTTTTTTAAATATTTTAATTTTTATCCTCATTATTATTAGTATTATTTTTTATACTTCACTTTTAACCTTATATATTTCACCCAATAAACCATAAAATATAATGTTTTTAACTTTTATCCTAATTATTGAAGTTTTTAGATTTTTTATAATTTTATTTTTACATGATTAATCATTTTGTGCATTTATTTAAATAGATATTTTGACATTTATGTAGGATTAATAAATTTTTTTAAAAAATATATCATAACCGAACCGAACCGATCTAAAACCGAACCGAATAAACCGGAAAATATAACCGTTTGGTTATAATTTTATTATGCAAAACCGAACCGAACCGAACCGAAACCGAACCGATTAAATCTATATAACCGTTTGGGTATGATTTTTTTATAACCGAAATAACCGAACCCGAAATAACCGAACCCCGAAATGGCCACCCCTAATAATCGCTATCAAACGTTCTGAAACGTCCACCCACAATCGCAACCGCTGCGGTACAACCAGTCGAACGCTAAATCCGATTAAAATCTTCTAATTATTTTTAGGAATAGATAGTTTTTTTTCTCACCTAATAAATACAGGAAAGAAAAGCTCGTTAGGTGTGGGCGAATGTCTCACTGTATTGTCTTATTCATAAAAATTCTGTCAAGATGAAAATCGTATTCAAATAGAAGCCACTATTTATTGAAAACGCCGTTTGGAAAGAGGTCCGTTTTATGCTTTGGCCCTCTCGTGTCGTAAGCACGGTTTTTGCGACCGAATATAACATCACGTGCGTTTATATAAGATCAGTATTCATATAGATATAGATGGTACATGCGGCCTCGGCCATTTAACGTGGTCGGAGTACATATACTATTAAGTTAATACAAGACAATTACAACGGCACATCGAGTGAGTGTATGTATATATATATATATATAATAAGACCATATCCGTCTTTTATTCATCCGTACATGCCTCGTGCAAATTCTGACTTCAGTTGATGCTGCAACATTTTTTGAAACAGAAACAATGAAGGATATGGATCAATGGAGAATGAATAACAATCGAATGGAGAAGAAATGTGCAAGGAAAAAAAAAGAGAGAACCTGTTGCAGTTAATGGAGCCGCTGATGGGGTAAGGGAGGGAGACGCCGCAAGCGCGGGGGAGTGAGGCGGCTAAGTCAGGCTTGATGCCTGTTATTCCCTTAGCCGCCGACTGCAGGCATAGACAAGCCTGTCGACGGTCCGGTGTGGTCCCAGCCATTCCGTACAAGTCTTTGATTCCAGCACAGCAGGGCGGCGGCACGGTTCCACCGCCGCCGGTGACGTACATGATGCAGGGTGCCAACTTGCTCTGCACCGTGCCACATGTAATGGCTGCGTCTGTGAAAGCAGCTGCTGCCAAAGCAACCATGACCATGCATGCCATCCACCTCCTCGCTGCCAAAGCCATGTTTTCTCTTCTTTTTTTTTTTTTCTTGTTTGAAATTGTTGGTGATGATGGTGAGAGTGGTTTGAGCTTATTATATATAGATGAAGATGTGTTGGTTAGTCGTTGGATTTCATTTATTAAAAATCGCATTTAGTTCCTCCTCAAAGAAATAAACAAATAAATTGAGATAAACGTTCCGCACCCTAATGTGGAACTCACGATTCTAGAGGTCGATGGTTAGATGGCGGTTGTGCGTTAGAGTTATGGGCTAACGGCCCTTACATGTCGGCCCAACCCATTTCATTTTCCAAAAAAGGCTGAAAAAACAACCGTCAAGAATCTCATGTGGCGTGGCTTTCCAAAACGGCAATTTAATTATCTGCCAAGAAATCCTATGTCATGAAAAATTCAGTTAAAGACTCCTATAACCTCAAAAAAAAAAAAAAATCAGAAAGGGAAGTTAGTGAGTAGGTCATCGAGTGTTATCTAGTAAACCGATCTCTAAATCATCATCATCATCCTCTTGACCCTCCGCCGACGAAGAAGAAGAAGAAGAAGAAGAAGAGGCGTCTCTTTCGCCGGCGACTGACGTCAGCTCCTCCGCCCTCTTCACCTGATGTTTCCAGTCCGTACGAACAACCGTACAAAGCAGCATCGCCAAACATGTCACCTGCGCCCCAAACAGCCCGTACCAAAGCCCTCTAAACCCGACGTTCAACACGAAAGTCGTCACCACCGCAATGGGAAGACCCACCACGTAGAACGCGCATAGGTTAACCCTCGCTCCTTCCTTTGGACGCGCCGTTCCCGTCAGCACCCCACACGCCGCTGTCTGAGGCGAGTTCCCCACCTCGCATAGCCCTAGAATTGGCAGCGCCGACGATATTAGCTCTAGAATCTGCGGCTCGTCAGTAAACATCTTCCCCCACACTGACCGCAGCACCGTCATGAAAACCGCCGCCGATATTCCGTAAGCCACCGCCAGGATTAACCCTATCAGGGTGGTGCATTGGGCACGCGTGGGCTCTCTCGCTCCCAAAGCATGCCCGATGCGGGTGGCGATGGCGCTGCTGATGGCGAAGGGGACGACGTAGAGCAAGCCCGTGGTCTGTATGAGTATCCCCATGGCTGAGACGCTCGCTTCTGGGTTCCCGAGGAGTCCACACAAGAAAAGCATGATCTCGTACCACCAATACTCCAAGCACACGGAGATGGCGCTCGGCGCTGCCAGTGAAAGCAGCGGCCACCAGCCGCGGGAGAGGGACCGCAACGCGTGGGAGAGTCCGAGACACACATGTAAACGAGGAGACCCACGTTAAGGTTTATAGTGTTAAAAGCCATAGCGACCGCGACGCCCTGAACGCCCAAACGCAGGTACACGACGAAGACGTAGTTGAACAAAGGATGAAGCAAGATGGAAACAATGGCGGAGATGGTGAGAGGAGACGTCAGCCCTTGCGTTCTGAGGAACGTGCGGAGAGGGTGAAGCATGGCCTGAGCCAGAAGCTCAGGGACGAAGAAGACCATGTAGACTTTGGCGACGCGAGTGATGTCAGGGTCTTGACCCAAGAGAAGAAAAATGGGTTCGATGTTGAGCCATGAGACGGCGATGGGGAGAGAGACGAAGAGCAAGAGGCAGAGCATCTTCTGAAAGGTCTGGCTGAGAACGGACCATCGCTTGGCGCCGAAAGCTTGGCCACAGATTGGATCCATGCCGACGGAGAGGCCCTTCAGGACGGCGACGCCGGTGATATTGCCGAAGCCCATGGCCAGTGCTCCGCCGGCGAGTTCGAGCTTCCCGAGGTGACTCAGGAACCACATCGAGATCACCGAGCGAGAGAAGATAAGGAGTGAGGTCATGACGATCGGGCACGCGATCTTCCCCAGCGACGCCACTTCTTCTCCAACCTGCATGCATGGAAGAAATGAAGAGACTCTTTCATTCTCTTATCTTTCCATCGGAAAATGAAAAAGTTTTTTTTTTTTGGTCAGACAAATGTTCACGTGGCCAAAAGTGAGAATGTTACAACTTTAGGAACTGAATTATCAAATCCGCAAATGGGCAGAAAGCCAGAGGACATACTAGGATTTGTTATCTTTTGCGTCAGGAGCTCTGCACTTTCTTGTTTTTTTTTTTTTTTTTTTTTTTTTTAAAATTTTTTTTTTTTTTTTTTTTTTTTTTTTTTTTTTTACAAATTCATAAAGAAAAAGAAGCTTCTACCTTTGAATTTCAAAAAGCTCCCAATTCCTGGTACATTCTTTTTAAATAGCTCTTTTATTCCGAAACATTAATATTTTTCTTGATTTTAAGGATTCTAAGTTAGGAAAAAAAAATCTTTTGACGTGTATATGAGCTTTATTACATCAAATATTCTTATTCGGATTAAACAATTATTAATCGTGTGACCGAACCAAACATGAAATCGCTAGATCTTTGTACGTACTGATACGTCAATTTTGACAAGTTACTAAAATTTCGTCAAAGTCGGATACCTAACAAACACTGTTTGTAACTGGTTGGTCCTACAAGTCCCTTGTAATTCCAACCCCAATAATCAATGACTTTAAAAAAAAAATAGTTTGCTATGAAATTCATGACGATAGCTCTAGGGTTTTTTTTTTATTATGAGTATGTAGAAGTACTTTGAAGAAAAGAAAAAAAAAATATTCTCTATGGGTTATCGCAGATGTCGGATTTCCATATGCATATTACATTCGGAAAATCCTATGTATTTGAAAAAAAAAACTTAAAAATGAAATTACGTCTCTCATATGCAAGTGGAAAAAAGAATAATTAAAAACATACAAAATGTAATTAACATGTCTGATCCTATGCTATATGCTAAAGTTATATTAAATCTATATCTATCTATCAGCCAATGGAACAGAGTATGTTACTATCCCCAAAAAGCCATGGACGTTATGATAAAAGACCAATCGAATTGGCCATATAGCTAAACTATGTGCAAAATATTTAGAATTCCCTTAAAAGGCGATTTTTTTTTTTACAAAATTTAATTGCCGTCTGAATACAGCAAATTAAAAGAGAAAAAAAAGGGACAGGCCTGGTTGAATGGGATATTGCGGAGGAGGCTGGTGGCCGGAATCCAACGGCGGAAGGCGGCGATGAGCTTGGAGGAGCCACCGCGGCTCCCTTCTTCGCCTTTCTTCAATGTTACGTCGACATCACGTTCTCGATTCATAGTACCATCATCAGACCCACTGGTATTCGTCGTTGATGATGTACACTTGCTCATATATACGTGTCTAATTTGTATGTATGTATGTATGTATGTATGTATGTATACAAATTGATATCCAACTCTTGTTAATTACAAGACAAGAATCTTGACGATGATGACGAAAACGAGAGAGAGAGAGAGAATGAGAATGAGAATGAGAATGTCAGCTTCGCAGCCTCATATTTATGCACGCTCGACTCTTATTATTTTACTTTGATGGAAATGTACCCTTTGTGTCAGTCTTGCCCCTTCTCTCTCTCTCTCTCTCTCTCTCTCTCTCCCTCCCTCTCTCTCCCTCTCTCTCTCTGTTCCTTTTAGACACATACATACATACATACATACATACATACATACATACATACATACATACATACATACATATCGACGTTGGCTATATGTTTGAGCTCGATCGATTTTCACAAGAACTTCCAACGTTAGAGCTGTAGAAACACATTAAGAATTCAACGGAGTACGCAAAGGATGACGTAATTCAGACAATAAACATTAAATTATATGAATGGGATCCCTGAGGTCTTTCTTTATTTGCTACTTATAGAACGTACCCTTGTCAATTATGGAAATCGCATATAAAATAACACCAACTGTCTCATATTCCATATAACACTAACAATGTGCCAATACTGTTTGAATTTTTCACTTTAAAAAAGGTGCAAGCTGTTCGTTCATATAGGGCATTCCTTCATGCATTGGCATACATATGTGTATATATACACAACCGATATATATATATATATGTATTCTATGCATATGTACGCATGTATTGCTTTGCGCTATTCCTGTGTTTTTAATTTGTGCAGTTGTTTATTTATCTACGACGAACAAAAGAGCAAATGGATCCCATAATTTGTGTGTGTGGAGGTAAAAGCGTACTATTTTTTTATTATTGTGTACTTGTATACATGTGTGTACACACACACACACACACACATATATATATATATATATCCCTCGATTAAATGTATAAACTTTTAGAAAATGATGTATTCCGTAAAATAAATTTGTCAAACCGAAATAATGGATGTGAGCATATACTAATGATTTCTGAATCAACGTGATAGATGTTTTAATTTTCTTTATTGGTAACCGTTTGGCGAGAGACATGTCATATAGATGGGTTAATAATTAACTAAATGAGTATTGTATTAAACGTTTGTTACAATCTTTTATTTTATATGTATACAAGTATGATAATATATATATATATATATAGAGAGAGAGAGAGAGAGAGAGATAGAGAGAGGGAGAGTGTTTTATAAAAGAAGGGCGTATAATATAATGTTTCACACGATGTGTATAGAGACTAAACGGATAAATATTTAAGAAAGGGGATAGCAAATAACATGGAAGAGTAGTAATAAGATAGGTTTTAGACACAAGTTCCGAGGATGGCCCTTGCATTCAACCAGAAGCCTTCTCTTATAATTTACAATTACAATTATAATTCTTCTTTCTTAGCTGTTTCTAAGTACGGAGACTGAATACATCCGGAAATTAGCCCCCATTTAATTTCCCATATTTTTTTATTTATTTATGTATTTAAAGGAGGATAATAAATGAATTTGGGGAGCAAATTGCATCTCTTTCCAAAGAGAACACAAGATTTCGCCTTTGATTGGTTCTAGCTAATTATTCTTGGCACAAGTTTAGACCATAACGTCTTATTAATGGATACTATCCGACATGCATGGTATTATTATATATGCGGATCACAGCGTAGATGCATATATATATTTAAGTGATCATAAGCTATACGAGCTAGTGTGTGTCACCTAGAAATTATATGCATTTTCTTCGTATTAAAATTTTGTAAGTTGCCGTTGGTAATGCAAGTGGGTGCACGTACATTTACAAAACCCTTATTGATCATGACCAAAAAAACCCACACACCCACATACACATACGCATACACACACATACATCATATATATATATATATATATATATATATAACACTCCGACAGGGAAAAACTAATAATGGGTATCATCTTATGTGGGGGGAGTGGGGGGCTTTTTAATTGCAAAATGAATGGTATTCTTTTGGTTTTTTTTAAGATGGATAAATATAGCTTCAATAATGTGAAAAAAGAGGAACAGAATCATGAGGGCGGGTGGAGGTTTGCTCCCTAGACACCCATACAAAAGAGTTTCAGCTTAAGAAAGCGACGGCTTCTCTCTAATTCGGCAGTGCCACCAACATTCATTTTATTTCCATTCACTTTGTAGCCAATCACATTCTCTCTTAGCCTTTTTTTTTATTTGTTTAAAAGATTTCTTCTTCAATAATTGTTTCCCCTTTTGGTTCTCTACTTGTTTTCTCTCATTCCCCACCAATTTCAATAATGCGAGCTCCATACGCAGTTATGGCATCTTAGTTTTTGGAGAGTCTGTCGTATTAAATATTGTATCCGAGTGTGTGTGTATATATATATATATCCAATATTTTGAAAGAGCAGTATATATCTGCTGCAAAATGAACCAATATGTGTATTATATGAATGAGGATAAAGCATATATTGTAGAAAAATAAAATGCGAAAATAAAATAAGACAAATAAAAAGAAACGAAATTACTTTTATTGCTACATCTCTTCTTCTTCTATTTACATTACAATGAAAATGAAATACATATTTATAGGAAAATTAAGAAACGGAGTAAAAAGGAAATATATATACAATGGAAACAAATAAGATACATAATATTTATCATAATAATATTGTATCCATTATTATTCTCCATCATATCTCAAATTTTATTTTACTCCAATCACATATTCGTTTTCCCATTTTAACATATATAGTACCCCCATATTTTGGTTATGTTGCATTAATTATATATTATACAAGAATAGTTCATTTACAGTAGTCATCGTGAGAACTGAAACGAACCTATTTAACTCAAAAGTCATCAAGAATGATGAGTTCCATGGAAGGTGGTTGTTTCAATTTTCTCTTTATTACTATATTATAGTATTAGTTTAATAGTTTTATTGTATATGTGTGCGTATATATGTATAAATGCATATAAAAGACATAGCTTTATGGAACTTACGTACGTTCGCGTGCTTAATCCAAAATTAAGACGAATCCGGGACCAGAAACAAAGCAAGCTTAAGCGTACGGAAGATGCTCAGCTCTAACCAATTACTGTTTACACACATGCACACTCACGCAGTGACACGTTTGCTCTTGTTGTTTTTTTTCTTCTTCTTCTTTTGGATCCAATTTTATTGTTATCATAAACTCTATATATATATATATATATATGTGTGTGTGTGTGTGTTGGAATTGACGACTCTTCGGGTGGGATAGGGTTTTGAGTTGTTGCCTTTTCCTATGACATTCTGGTCATTGATGTTAACGTCGGGTTAGCTTAGCTAACATGTTCATCCTTTTTCATTGGAAGTGTGAACCATGCCGTGCATATTATTAATTGGTTAATGCCTCCATTTCGATTTCCATTTGTTATTTTATATCTTCCATGTTTCAAATATATTTAATTTTCTAATTTTATATCGAAACTTTCGAATTTAATAACTTTCAAAATAAATAACCAAATCATGCATATGATAATAGAAAGATAATTTCAATATCTGCGAATGCATAACTTCGATAATGTTATAGAAAGTTATTAATAAAATAATAGTCAAATTCTCTGACCATAATAATAATGTTGGAAATATTAACATTTTAATGACTCATGTAATTTTGGGTTTTGGAATTCAATATGACATTGACTTCATTGATGGATATGAGTTTATGAAAGTGTTGAATTTCATGGGTGTTTATTGTTATCTCTCTCTGTTTATCCTATAAATAGCTAGTGGACATATGTTTCACATTTTTCATCCATCGAAAAACTATCAAAGTAAGGGTGAAAGGAGAGAAAAACGAACAACGAAATTATTTAGTTTATTTTTCAAAATTATTCCGCTGCAACATGGATTCAGATACAATTCTTATCTGATATATATACTAATTTCGAGTTGTGTGAATTATGTAAAACCATATCCAATCTTGATGAGTTTTCATAAAGTTAAGTTATTGAAAACCATCAAATTAAATTTACAAATAAATCCCATCACTAAGAGATGCAGCTAAAATAAATTGATGAAAGCAACATATATGTTCGTAATTGATGAAAATTTATGTTGGTAAATTATAAGCATAGACAAATACTAAAACGCAACTCCAATTTCGACTTAAAGGGGAATATTATATGAGTTAGTTGTGCTTATTTTAAAATGGAATTCTGACAAAACGTTGGTTTCCATATTCATCGGCAATGTGGTGGGAACTTCAGCTGATGAGGACATAAGCCGCTTTTTGCCATATCAGCACTTAAAGCATCTTAGTACGAGAATCAGTAAACTATGTCTCATAAGTTCGGGGGCTTTTGTAATTGAAAAAAAAATACAATTTTTTTTTGAATAATCCGTTATATATTATATAGGCTATATAAATAAAGTTATTAAATATATAGGTTTTGAGAAAAGATGGAACAGAGTTCTATACAGTTGCCGCCCTAATCAATCAATGCGCTTTAGTATTTTTTTTGTTCATGTATGTCGCACTGATACAAGCAACACTTGTAGTGTAGGAAAAGTTTAACTTATCTCATAGTATAATTTATATTATCATTCACATTAATTAGAATTGAGCTTTTTTTATCATCTTTTTTTTTTTAATTGTCACCAAAGATAGGGCCAACAAAAGCAGTGCCTCGTGACTTTAATGTTTGATTATCTTCCAACAATTTTAACTTATCCGACCGCATTTTTATCTGTCTTTTTTTTTGTTTCCGAAATCTAGGAGGTTGAGATTGAATTAAGGTTAATCTGAGTGTGTGGCTACATAAACATATATATATATATATATGTATGTATGTATATATATATATATATAATATTATCAGTGAATATCTTTTTTTGGGGTCATGGGTTGACATGATAGAGAAAGAAAGATAATAATAACAAATGAGAAAGGTAATAAGAAAACTAGTACTTTAATTAGTTGGCATAATGGGTGTCACATGATAAGTAGTACTATATGGCCCCAACCATTTCGTCTAATACAGTTGTTAATTGAATATTGAAAAAAAAATATGGAGATCTTTTGAATAATAATCAAATCTGAAATCGAATTAACCTCTTAATTCAATACGATATCTGGATATAAAAAGGCGAGTGGAACATATATACTGTCCAATAATAGAGAGAAAGAATAGAGAACTATTTGATTTTTCATTATTTAAAATAGAACATTATAATATTTATAGGTAAAAATAAGATAATAAAATATCTTATTTAATTAATATAATAACTACTATATAGTTATAATATCAAATCTATAATATTATGTAATTAATCTTCGTTATATCTTGGCGATCTTCTGTAATCTTTTCGATATCTATTGGCTCCAAACGAAACAAGAGGTTTTAGGGGTAATTAAGCCTTTGGGTGTAGTCGGAGGGTTAGGATTAATTTGTTAATTGGTGTTTTGCATTAATAAAGTCCGAAGGGTACAATAATACCTCGGTAGTGGGGACCCGACCAAACGAAACCAATGAGTGGACACTTCAACACACGAGCTCTCACGCATTTTAGCTCTCTCTCTCTCTCTCTCTATACATACATATGCTAACCAAAGGTTTATTTAACTAATAAACAATAAGCTTGGACACTTAAGTGAATACTTTTAAAAGTTAAAAACATAAAGCCAGAAACTTATAATAATAGCCCTTTAAAGATAATCGGTTTAGATGATAATTAAGAGTTCCAATTAAAGGTTGGTGAATGAAAAACATTTTAGCTGGACAAAAAGATTGGATCAGCTGTGAGATGTAGAGTTCGAAGTTTTTGGTCAAGAGAAGAAGAATCAGTTCCTAAACTTAAGGAAGTTGAGAAGATTTAGGAGACTGAGAGATAAATTTAATAAGATCAAGAGAAGATTCTTCTCAACTCGGGAGCCTATGAATTTAGAGGAACTTGAGAGAGAGAGAGAGAGTTTGAGAAAGTGAATATTCAAATTACAATGAATAAAAATAATATCTGTACGAGGATAAATGGTTTCAGTCTCCGATAGTTTTTCGGAAACCGACCAAATTCACATTTTTATTGCTCATCTTGAGCCAGTGGACAAATGATGCATTGCTACCAAAGTACTAATTTCATAACATATGTCTAGCTTTTGATTCATATTTTATGTGGTTATTGGTGGTTTATATATATCTCAAATAATTTTAGATATGTACATCTAAGTTGGTTTGTGTGTGTATATATATATATATATGTGCAATTAAAACATCATAGTTCTTTTGGGGATTCTACATTATCACGAATCAATAATACAATAAAAACTCCATTTATATAAACCTTTGAAAACGACAATATCTAATATAACAATACTGTAATTAACGAAATCAAAAGAGAGAATTGACTTTAACGTCAAAAACTCTATCAATGTGACGAAACCATAGTCAACAAAAAATTCGCTATAACAGAACGACAATGTCCACACAACAACATACAACAATTATAAAAAATTAATTTTCAACATTATAATCTCAATAATTCGAGAGAATACTACCCACAAATAGCATTTCAAACTATAAATCAACCCTGTAATTTTCAACATTATAATCTCTTATTCATAGGTTCGCCCTTCTTTCCTTGATTATGATATGATCATGAACACTCACTCTTGTCTATGAGCATCGTAATTATTACTAATTAAATGACTGTCTTTTAATTGGTTATCCATTTATAAAACGGTTCTTAAAATTTAGAAATTATATTGGATTGTTCTAGAAATTTTTTTTTATATAAAAGATTATAAAGTGGGTCCGGAAATAAGGACTAGGATGGAGTGTGCAACGACCTCTATTGAAATTTTTCAGAACATTTGGAGACTACAAAATGAGCCCGTTTGGAGTCCCATAGCTTCCTTGGACTCTCTTGAAACGCAATAAGAAATCAACTCGAGGGTCAAACGCAATAATGATCTATCGTACTCGAACAAATCAAACATATATTTAGCAACAAAAACTGAATATAAAATCGAGTCCAAACATAGACCGAAATCCGAAATTGAGGGAACCCGAGCTATCTCCCCAGGCCAATTCTACGGTACATATAACATAGGAGTAATAACATATGTATATGTACCTCGAAAAGCAGCAAGGAAAAGGGCAATTCTGCGAATTGGCGAAGGTTGGTTCATTCGACTTTGGCAATTCCGACAGAGGGCGTGCTGCTTTCGACCACTGTCTCTCTTACAAACCTAACACAAATGCATTTCCGATTAAAATACCATACCCATTTGCATGAGTTCGATTCGACCGCCCCCTCTTCCGAACTCATAACTTGCCTTACATTATCTTTTTAAAGAGAGCTACTAACCAACCGGTAATCAAACACACACTATGCAAACCTACCAACTGATTTCCAAAGAGTAAACATCAGTTTTGGTGGTCCTCAAAGAAAGAAACTCTGAGCCACATAACACAGGAAAGACATACCTCGCCAGCTTCTCCCGCGAAGACTGTAAGACGTAGATGGATAGCATAAAAGACATCGCCAGCGCTGTTCAAAGACAGAAACGAAACAAAGATATAGTTCCTTTACATTAATTTTGAAAGTATGATGCTTTCAGGCTCATGGTCATGGGTGCACGGTGCTCACTGCAATAGATTGCTTGCACTTTACAGAAATAGATCTCTAGATCTAATACAATATTAGACTCTAAATCCAAGATTATTAACCGTAAGCCCAAACTTTTCCCGTCTATCTGTATCTTTTGTTCATATCATACATAGTTATATGGAGGTTATTTGAGTGCTATGCATCTATAAAGTGGAGAGTCTGCAATGACAACAACACAATTGCCCCCACCCTCACGTCTGATTTAATCAAGAATGAGTTACCTGATCCAAAGAGGACGTAAAATCCAGAAGAGATATCGATTTCTGACTGCTCCTCCCTGCAAGGTACAATAAATTGACTCAGAGGCTGATCCCATCAATTATGTAACTAGGAATGAGCTCACGGGCTCGAACTGATACATAAGTTCATGAACGAGACCACGAGGAGAAAGTTCTTAAGACCAGGAGAACACAAAATGATCCTCAAGATTCAAGATCAAAATTTGTTGTACCATGTGTATCTAACAAGGACATGTTTTGGCCAGTGCTGAGGATCCCAGAATAGTTTGCGGATCTCCGGATGTATCTCCAAATCTGTTCAGGGGTAAAATGAAGTTGATCATTTATTTCCATATTGTGATTATGGAAACATAGTTGAGGACCCATGTACATGAAAATTAATATAGAGGAATCTGGGATACATCCCCGTCTGCAAGAAAGGGAACATGACATGGAAGAACCCATGACAGTGAACAAGGTCATTTTATATCAGAAGATGTTTTCATGCATGGCTGAAATAACTTCTCTCGTCCGGATATATTTGGACAGATGATAATGGGAAGCCTTTTCTGGATGGTGACTAATTTAACTAGGCCTACAACACAAATGCTGGGTGAGCAAGCAAGACAACTCTTCGGGCATTATCATCTACAGAACACTGTGAAAGTACCCAGCAGATTAACAATGTGGAATATGCAACCCATATTCTCACATTTGCTTATAAGACCGAAGGGAAGGTGCGATAAGATGAATGAAGGATGTTACGTACAGCTATGAGGCATATCGATGACTTTAGCAGTGACGCCAAGCAAATCTCCTCCAGAATAACGCTGAAAAATCAACTTCACATTAGAAAACCACGTAATGCTACTATTGGCGCATAATCGAATTCAATCTCAAATCAGAGTTGAGTTAAAACACCAGATGCACATCAATCATCGGAACCTCTGAACTCTTGCGATTGATGACAAAAAGCCAAGGAATGAAAAACTTCTCTCTCCCAACTTGGAACGATCTGCACTTCACTTAAAACCATCAACTATCGCAAATCGCCAAACTATCTCAACAACAAAGTCAGACATTGCTAGACAAGATCTAGTAGCTCAGCTCCGTGAAGCAGCAATGGAATAGGAGGGAAAAACGCATAGAGCAACACTACACCGCCCTTCCTCCTACAAACCATTTCAATTGGATTTCCGAAACGAGAAGAAAAAAGATACAGAAGCATAAAAAAAAACGCAGAGCCACTCACATCTTGTAAGGATCGGCTCCCGTGTAGCCAACTGGTTTCGCTATTGGGATCAACACCTAACAATCGACAAGGAAGAGAAAACCAAATTCAATCAGATTTACGAACAAGTTCCGAATCGTCAATCTACGGCACATAGTACCTCGCGATTGACGGCGAAGATGGGACAGTGTTTTCCAATCACGTCATGCCATGTCGTCCTCGACTGCAAAGGAACGAAAACAATCAATGGATCCGGTAAAAACAAAAATCGGAACAAGAAAGGGCAGAGAATCAGAGTGAAACGGAGTACGAACGGAGTGATACTGGCCCATCTTGCTCATCGGGACAATATCTCCAGGCCGATAAGCGATGGAGACAGCGGGAAACGTGAAGGAAATCACCATCAGTACGGGAAGAAAACGCGTCCTCGGTCCCTCGACGACCATCGCTGCTTCTGCGAGATTCACCGGTCGTAAACTCCGATATTTTCCCTTTCGTTCCTCCGGCAAGCCATCTTTGGTCTCTACAACGTAATTGGGCCGTAAATGTTGGCGAGGACTATCTTTGTCGGCCCAATATGAAGGACACATTTTATTGTATCTTTGCATAAGATTTTTCCCTCTTAAAAAGCCCATTCTCTCTTCGAGATTTGTTTTGGTAGCCGGTATCATGAAGGCCAAATACCCAAATTCCGGGTATCCGTCCCGACCCGAAGGTTGGATATCTGCAGTACAATGAGTAGAGATCAGATTTTAAAATATTTAAAATCCGAAATTCGAGTTCGGATTCGGATTTGTATTTTCGGATCAGGTAATTACTCGCGGATACCCGAATAATTAAAAAAATAAATAATATATTTTTAAATTATTACAAAATTACAAATATATCTATCAATACTTAATTGTTTTTATATTTATTTATGCCAAAAAACTATCATTTTATAATCTATTTATTTTTAGTATAAATATTTATCATTAATTTTATAATTTATTTGTATGAAATATATAAATTTGAGAGTTTTGAATTAAAATTTGTTTAAACCCGTCGGGTTCGGGTATCTATGGGTACCCGAAAATTGTCTCAAGGGTAATATAGTTCGGGTATCCGGAGATTCAGGTTCGAGTTCGGGTTTTGAAATGAATAACTCGTCGGGTTCGGGTACCCGACCCGTGTCCACCTCTAAATCTCGGGGCAAAAAACAAGACATGTGATTGGAATTATACTCTCCTCCCCAATTTAAAATTCAAACTCGGGACGAGACACACGCTTTGTATCCCTATTTCACCGGTTTAACTATCTAAATTGGATTCTCTCTTCAAGATTCACTTACTCAAATGGATGAATCAATGATAATTAATTAAATAATTTAGATATTTTCCCAAAAATTAAGAAGAGAGGTGCAGCATCACATCATTGGTCACGTGTTACATTATCTTTCATATATATATTATCTTCTTTTGTTTGTCTTGAGTGTAAATATATAGTAACGTGTCCCTCCCAAGTGGGAAAGAGGACAAAGCCCTAACGCTTGTAGTTGTAGTGATGGATACACCCTCATGGTCATGACAATGCATGCTTTGTTACAATTTCCACCTTCTCCTAGTCGTTGTCTTAAACAGAGGGTAAAAGACAGACCAAATGGATCCCGATAAAGATTTTGTAAAGCTAATCAATTTCTCAATCATATCATAATTATCTTTTTTTTTTTTCCATTAATTTCCCACACACATTTCACTGAATAGATTATCTATCAACAGGTTGCGCCTTTCATTTAGGCTTCATAATCCAACGAATCGGATTTTTCATATTCGCCGATGCTTGATTAAAACGTTTGTGAATAATCACTAAACGGAAGTATTGCTCAATGCCCATGTCTCATTTCTCCTGTAAAACACACTATTTGTATTAGGTGAGGAGATTCACACGGGTGCTTGCTAGTGTCTAACCAATATATATTTGCATACATATCATATATATATATATATATATATATATATGTATGTATGTTTGGACACAAAATTGTTGCTTTGTCATGGGTCGCAAGCTATATCTAATATCTTAGAAGATGAAAGACAAAATAAATATACGCAAAACAAAATTCTTTTTATTTTGTGATAATTAATTTTGTGGCTCCTCACGGGTTATTGTCTTGCATTTAGTTAATATTGATTTTTGTCTAATAACGTTTTTATTGGTTATAATTCGGATATTAACCAATTGCCCTCTCAACCCTATTGTTTTCCCCTTTTATACATTGTTTGAAATTGTCTGTATACATGATTAATTTCTAATTTTCTATGACCGACACGTCCTCTGTGTGTTTAAAATCATATGTCTATTCCATAACCCTCTTAATTAGTTGTCGGTACCTTCAAATGACACCCCCATCATCATATAATAAGATCAATTTGTGTGTGTGTGTGTATTAAGTCATTGGGATTTATGTCCTATTTTACTTGATAAACATGGAGCTGGTATATGTATATATATATACACACACACATGTGGTGGTAAAAAAACAAAAAGGGGACCCTGTCAATGGAAAATCAATAGGAAAAGAACAGTAAATGGTTCTACCAAAGTCATCAAAGTCGGTGACCTAGAAAGATATGTTACTTTTTATGTTTTTACTGTTTTACTGTTTCTATTTGCATTTAATGGAAAAAAAGCATTTTGCTTTTTCGCGTTTGTGCATATTTACATGTATTTTATGTTTGTTAGATGTGAACATGTATTAATCAAAAGAGCCTGTCCAATACAAAACTGGTTTAACCATAGTCATATGTATTTATATGTTATATGTTTGAGGAGGTTTCTGAAAGGGTGTTTATCATCAAACCATAAATATATTGTACAATATTGTGTTTCGTCTGGTTTACTTTTTATGAGTGTATTGGTTGAGTTTGACTAAGACAACATATACATTAATATAGCAATAATCGAACATATATATATATATATATATTCGCATCATTTGTATTTGTAGAAATGATGTTGTATAATGATATCGGCAGTTGAACGTATCGAATAACAAAGAACATAAATGTCTTTACGTCGTGTTGGTTTCACACATCCCCACAACCATGCACATGCAAAAAAGACTACGAAATTTTAATTTCGAAAAACTAAAATTAATCTTTAACACAAATCAAGTTAAGTAGTGGTAATTTAGTATTGTATTATTTTATTTGTTTTTTATAAAATTTATTGACATAATTACAGACCAAATCGTTTATACGACAAAAATAAACTATGTAGATTTCTTAATTATTAAGAACATAGATAGCCATGATAATTTTAGTTCACATCCAATTATTTAGAATATATATATATATATGTATATGTATATTCAACTTTTATAAGCCACATAAATACTAAAGAGGCACAAAATCAAAGGAATTTGTAAGCATTATCCTGCTCGCTCGCACTCTAGGGTTTGAAAATTTCGTGCCGCTATTGGAAAATTACTTTTTCGTAGCTTTTTAAAAACCTCAACTTTTGCGTAAAATAAGTTTTTTTTTTTTATGAAATGTGATTTGGTATTAATACCGTAAAGTTCTTGAATTGTACAAAACGAGCCTAATCAGGCTGTAGATGAGCAAAATAATATGACATCCCATGTGCAAGTGCGTAAAATAAGTTAGTAACGTTGAAAGTAGAAGATATTTATTTAATTACAATTTGTATCAATTCATCACGTAAACTACACAATCGTCGATTCTTCTCCTCAACAAAATAACACATACACTAACGAATTTATTTTTTAATACAATAAAGTTGATATAAATAATTGTGTCGGATTAGCTTGAACGGTGCACGATTAAAATGGATAGTGCCCTGGTGATTTGGCCGACAAATTCTTATAAACATGAATTGGGAATTATGGAAATTCCTAATAACATGAATGAAACATTGTTAAAATTATAATATACAATCAAAACGTACCTCCCGAACGTTTGTAACCTAGGGCCGGTCAAGATTGACATATATTTGACTGTAAAGTGAATATAACCATAAGTTACGTAGTATATGTATATACCTGCATATTTCATGAAGATTGTTCTCTATATATATATATTGTCAGTATAGCGTACTCTGCTGCATAACTTGGAGTTGGATTGTAGAATTTACACAAGAATCTAATTGTCAGTGCAGTGAAAGAAAGCGAGACTGACTTTCTTTGGATTTTATCACTTCAATTTCATCGAGACACAAACTGATCCTCCTTGCAGGTTTTGTCCCTCATTGGGTCCCACTGGGTTTCTGTTCCCTTGCTAAATTGCAGCTTATCGTAATTATTATTATTATTATTATTGTTGTTGTTGTTTGTTATTATAATGAAAAAATGTTCTCATTATATGTGAGTAGTGTTGCGTGTTACACTCTTCTTTCCCCTTGGGAAAATGCATCCCTACTTATTCAATAACGTTATCACCCAGGGTTTATGTTGCATGTCATTTGTGCAGAGATATATATACTCCGATATCTTGTTTGTTTGTTTGTAAAGATAACTGCAAGAGATTTATTTGATGATAGAAGTTGAAATGGGTCCATTTATATCTTTTTGGTTTCTGATTGGACTGCATAAGCGCGTGATTCATGCCAGTCTATTTCTAGTGACTATACATGTACATGCTTACGTGATATTTTCTTCCATTGCAAGAATGCACAAAACTATACGCATGTACGCACAGAGACATGTACGTATATGCGTATATACATATATATACGAACTTTGAGAAACAAAAGATGCCAAATTCATGAAAAGTAGATAAACATATATACAAACAAACTACCAACAAAACCATAGTTTTTGGCATTTTTCAGAGTAGAACAGCTAGCACTTAATTAGTTTGAGCGTGGACAAATAAATTCCAGCCATATCTGTTTAAAAACCCTAATGATGATATCATGATACTCATCCGAATTCAGGGAGAGATAACAAGCGAGAAGCTCCTCGAGGTCCTTCTTTGCCCTTATGCGGTTCTCAACGATCATCTCCATCATCGACGCCTTGAAGTCTCCGTACGGATCCATTGACGTTTTCACCACCACGAAGCTGTCGGAAAATCCTGCGGAGGCCGGAGGCCGTACGGTTTTCACTCCCTTTCCGGTAAACACCCTCCGACGCGAGTTAGGTCTTAGCCTCACCCCCGAGGAAGTTGTTACGTTGGGTTTCCTGCGGTTGGCGTTTGCGTTTGGAGAAGCCTCCGCGTCCTGGACCGGCTTGGTTTTGATGGGAGGGAGTAGTAACGCGGGAACTTCGCCGTCGGAAGTGGTGGAACGGCCCTGTTCGAGAGAATTTGAGGGGGGGATGTGAAGAAGGTCTCGAGTGAAGTAGTGAGATTTTCTAGGATGAGCAAAAGATCCAGAGAAGTGATGATGATTTGGGGTGTGGAAGTGGGAATCATGATGTTTATGATGAGATGATGACGATGGCGATGATAACGAGTTGGGAGACATATCTCGGAGTTTGTAGAACCAAGCGTTAGGGATCATGTCGGAGAATCTGAACTTATAGTTCCCCATTTCCACAAGCTCTCTCTTCTTCTTCAGTTGGAGTTTTGGAAGCTTCGGTCTCGAAATATGTCTCTGGGTTTTTTTTTTCTTTTGCTTTGGTGTCTGTATAAATAGATGAAGTGAGCGTGTGGGAAGGAAGGAATCTTGGTAGCGTGGGCCCACCAGGTTGAAACTCTCGCTCTCGTGGGACCCAACTCTGTTTTAATTTGCCCCTTAATTTGACTTTTTAGTTTCCGCATAATGATTACGCTAAACACTGTTAAATGTGTTATGTTTGTTGGTAATTTTTTTATTTATCGATAAATAAAAAAATTACATTTCCTTTCGTCGTTAATATGTATATATTACGAACGAGTACGGAGACTGGTACAGCGTGGCAGTGGCAGTGGGAGACGCGAGAGGAGCGTTCAGATTCCTACGTCAAGACAATCTTATGGTAGCGATTATGGGCCAAACTTTTTCGGATGAAATATATTTGATGTCCAATGCTGTTAATCAATGGGCTCATCCATCCCCATCTTTATAACCTCTTTGTTTTTAATTTTAATACACGAATATGAAATATATGGTGGGTCATATACATAAATCATGTTTCACGCCAACCATTTTTATCACAGATCAGTTGTCTATAAATTCGAAATAAAAAATACATAGAAAATGCCGTTACGAAATACCACGAATGGGTAAGAGTTTATATATATATATATATATGTATGTACAGCAAAAGTCCACCAATGCTAATGGGTTTTGGCCTTAAAAAAAATATTGCACTGATAGCTGTCTAATTATAGTCAACGGTAGAACGACTCGGATCCACGCATCAAACTTCGAAATATTTAACAAAAAACGGGAAGAAATATGATTCCGATGAATTGTTTAAAATCCATGGATTATGCAAACATGCACCTCTGGTCAAATAGCGTATTAGTTCATCTTGAATTGATTGTTTTTTAATAATTATATAATTTGCGATCCCTAATCATCAGATTTAGCATTTATTAGCTAATAATAAGTAAGATAGTATGATGGGAAATTGATGCAGGCATATGAGTGAGGAAAAGACAAAACACATTATACTAAAAAAATGGTTTGAAGTCGTTTATTTAATTTTATCCGTTTTGAATGTTTCCAAAAAACAATAAGTATATAAACGTCCTTCCACGTTGTTTTATGGGTGAAATATATTCATGGAGTTTACAAATAAATAATAAACTAGGGAAAAAACAAATCCTTTGAAGTTTGAACCCGTCTAAATTAGTTTATTGGGTTGTGAATAAAATTCTTTTCACGAAATTAGGGTAAAAAAAAGTGATTACGTGGGAAGGAAGGCAACTTATTTATAAACAAGGAAGGCGCATTGTTTGCTTCTTCTTCTTCTTCATCGTCGTTTTGTATGCTACGTGGATGAGTAAAAATGGCGGAGGACTCGGACACGGAGTCGGTGATAGTGAACGTAAACGGAGAGGACAACAAGTCGGCGTTGTTCGGGAAATACGAACTAGGGAAGCTCCTGGGGATGGGAGCCTTCGCAAAGGTGTACCAGGCGGTGGACGTCCGCACCGGAGAAGGCGTGGCCATTAAGGTCGTCAACAAGAAGCGACTCAAGGAAGGGTTGACGGCTCACGTTAAGCGCGAGATCTCTGTCATGCGCCGCCTCCGTCACCCTCAAATCGTCCGCCTCTCCGAGGTCCTCGCCACCAAGTCCAAGATCTACTTCGTCATGGAGCTCGCCTTGGGTGGCGAGCTCTTCTCTAGGGTCTCCAGCCACCGCTTCACCGAAAATCTCAGCCGCAAATACTTCCGCCAGCTCATCTCCGCCGTCAGGTACTGCCACGCCAGAGGGGTTTTCCACCGCGATCTCAAGCCGGAGAATCTCCTCCTCGACGAGAATCGCGACCTCAAGGTGTCGGATTTCGGCCTAAGCGCCATGAAGGAGCAGATTCAGTCCGACGGAATGCTCCATACCCTCTGCGGGACGCCTGCCTACGTGGCGCCGGAGCTCCTCATGAAGAACGGCTACGACGGAGCCAAGGCCGACATATGGTCGTGCGGCGTCGTTTTGTTCCTCCTCAACGCTGGTTACCTGCCCTTCTCTGACCCCAACATCATGGGCCTCTACCGCAAGATCCACAAGGCCCGATACAAAGTCCCCGACTGGACCTCCCCCGATCTCCGCCGTTTGCTTCGCCGTCTCCTTTACCCCGACCCCGATCGCAGAATTTCCGTCGACCAGATTCTCCAGGATCCCTGGTTCAACGAAGGAATTGATCCCATCGATATCATCAGAACTCAGACCGACGATCACGATCTCGAAGAGCACGCCAATAATCTCAACGCTTTCGATCTGATTTCGTCTTCTTCTTCTGCGAATCTCTCCGGTCTCTTCAACAATTTCGTGACGCCGGACCACTGCGACCAGTTCGTCTCAGACGAGGCACCTCCGGAGATTCTGGGGAAGGTGGAGTCTTTGGCGAAGCAGTTAAATCTGAGGATCGTGAAGAAGACGGAGAGGGCAATGAAGCTGGAAGGGCCCATCGGAGTGGTCAACGTCGTGGTCAAACTTCACCGGCTAACGGACGAGCTGGTCATGGTCGAGATCAAGAACAAGCAGAGAGAAGGGCTCGTTTGGGCCGATGCGCTCAGACAAAAGCTTCGCCGTTTGGTTAACCAACCGGTCTATCGGGTTCCCCAGTAAACCGTGAGGGAAATTTCCCGGTTTACGATTCTAATTGAATGAGAGGTCCGGTTTATTCTTGGTCCGCCCGATGATGGTTCGATTCAATTTTTTTTTTTAATTATTTATTAAGCAGAGAGAGAGAGAGGCAAATGATAAAATGATATGTAGTGCTTGTTGCTTTGCTTAGTGTATTCGGGTGGATATTCATGTCACCTTTTTTTTTTACCACGTACGTGTATATAATGTATTGTCAAAGGTATCTCGAATTCCTTCTCAATTGTGCTAAATTTTTATTGTTGTATTCAATTACATAAATATGAAAACGGAATTGGGATTACCAACTATTTATTTATTTATTTTATCAATGTTTGGGTTATTGTCAAACGACATGAATGCCCACCCGGTTCGTGGTTGCTGCTCTTTTACCTGGCAACGTTTTCCTTCATTTCCCTTCCGTCTTCGCTGTCAAGAGAAGTCAGGTCCCCGATTCATCCTCTATAAAGTCCGAATCCGAAACCCCGCCTCGATTTTCATTACCTTTTTGTTTCCAATCTCCAGGCCGCTCTTCGTCGATGCTCTTCTTCGATGGTTGTCCAATCCGTAAGTCCCCCATTTCTCTCTCTCGATTGATTTGCATTGCCCCGAGAGCTAGTTTTTTTAAGAGCTCGCCCTTCTAATTCATAAAATTGAATCGATTTCCATTTTGCGAACGCCGGGTTCTTCGGGTTTAACTCCAATGTCGTTGGTATTTTAGGTGTTCCATTATTCTCCATGGGCATGGGATTGTAATCTTAACTAAAGTTCTCTGGAGCTAGGACTGGTTACTTCCATGGTGTGCAATCTGGACTAGCGTTAGGGCTTTCCGTTGTGAGCGCGTTCCTTGGGTACTAGGGTTTCTCCATTGTTTCGGTTCGAAAAGGAGGAATATTAGGGGTTGGTTTGAGAGGATAATGTGTATATTGTGTGTTATTCAAAAGTCATCCCGTCGGGTCGCGACGATGCTGCCTTGGTTAATCATCCCGTTGATTGGACTTTGGGCTCTGTCTCAGCTTCTTCCAACCGACTTTTCTTTTCGAAATTATTTCACCAAGGCTAGCTTGTGTTTTTGTGCTTTTGATTACCTTGTTCCGGTACGAGGTTTTGATGTCTCAACTGTCTGCTTGGCGGGTACGGGAAAAGGCCCATCTTAGAGAGAGGAGGAGGTTGGAAGCTATTGAGCTGGAGAAGCTAAAGAAAACTGCTACCAGGCATTGTCGAAATCGCTCGTCACCTTACCGAGACCAAAATCCAGGTGGAGGCCGGTTTATGTGCTCGCATTGCGGGCATATTTCCAAGAGGCCTGTTTAGACATGCCTGTCTCTCCTGGATTAGGCCTGTCTAATTCTGGTGATCTTGAAGGATCTTGTTGGAAGAGGTGGCAAGATGTTTAATGGAAAGGGGTGGAGTGATAATGGATGGACACATGGGCGAGATTGGTCAGAAAATGGCACCTGGGCTAGCGAGGCAAGGTCCAGCTATTGGTGGGTGAACAGAGCTTTTTGAAGATCCATGTTATGTCCCGGATCCGATGTCTCTGCTGGGACCTGTTTCAGAATCACTTGACTTAACACCTGACTTTGAAACAGGCGTAGGACTGGAAAAGCAACATTGCTATGAAGAAAGCGACTTGTTGTGAAGTCAGCAAGCCATCTCCTATTGAGTCTCCCCTATCAAGATCACGAATGAATGATGAGCAACAAGAACAATGTAAGGATGAAACGTGGCGAATGTGGACGACTCTGTTTGGCCAAGACAGTCTTGGTTTTGTGGGTGGAGGACCAGCGAGCTAGCTTTTAAGCCTAGAGACTAGCAAGGAAGATATTGTGTATTCTGTACCTCAGAGTGGGACAACATCGTTGTTTGCAAAGGAGGACCCTCTGCTTCCGAGTGCTTATCCCGCACATGAAGAACTGTGTGTTGGAAATGATGAGAGAAGAGGTGGATTGGGGTCCTGGTTTTATCCAGGATTGTGTGGCAGAGGCTGCAGCGAGAAGAAGAAGCCGGGTCCGTGCTGGATCATCCATTTGAGCTTCTGCCAATGAGTGGCTCAAGTAAGTGTTGCTTGGTCTGTACCTTCTGTTTCTGCATGGTTGATGGTGGTAATAAATGTTCATACTCGCATGCATGAAGGTGAAGCAGGACGGGGAAGACAGCGGAAAGCAGTTTGATGAGTTATGGAGGAAGATGTTCTATTCCTAATCTAACAACATCAACATCAGCTTCAACATGTACAGTCGTCGTCGTCTTTTTGGTAGTGTCTGAGCCTCAGCGGACAATTTTTTTTTTTAAGAACACACGCACAAAAAAAAAGTTCAAAACATCTTACGTCACTTGATATTCAGAGATATATAGTATATACATCCTCTCCTCAGTCAGTCTTCCGTTTTTTTTTTCTCGACTAAAAATGTTAGAGACTTTCACTTAACACGTACGTAATTATCTGGTAATACTATTTCCTTCATACGCTATTTTTATTTTTGATAACCTCATACGCTATTTCTTTATAATTAAAAAACACACAAACAATTTATTTTGTTCACTGTCTTCTCATAAACTTGGTCTCTTAAATTTGAATATATATATATTTTTAGATGATTTAAATCATAATTGTTTTTGCCGTCATTAGTCAAAAGCAAACTTTCAAGGTTTTCAAAACATAAGTAAAATGAGGTAACTCTCAAATTCGAATACGAATATTGAAAATTAGATATTTGAACCAATATTCTGATTTTTCTAGGTTATCTGTGCCCCTGCTATTTGTATATATTTGAGTACTTATATTGGTAAGTCTTGTATAATTCAAGCTTTTAGGATTATTGAATGAGAGATGGGTGCCATATCATTTTCGGACAGGTGTTTATCTTCTGTTAGGAACTTCACGATTTAGTCAACGTGACGTAATGGTAATCTTGTGTCCACGTCCACGACATCACCGAGTCTTCAGTGTACATAACTTTTTTTTAATTGAATAAACATTTCCAAGTTCCATTAACATTACAAACAATATTCATGATAAAACTGTCAGAAATACTACTTTAATCATATACTAATGTAATTTAAACAGCCCCATAACTTGTAACGTACTTCAATCATATTATATAAGAAGTTCTACCGACAGTATAAATTATATCCAACAGGGTGTATCGGTGAAATTGTCAGCTTCTAACTTCCATGGAATG